AATTGCGTATTATAGATAATATGTTTTAATGTTTCTAGCAACAGTTTTGATAGAGAAATTAATGGTTTTGATCTGGCTCTTTTCCTGAAATTTCCACATATAAATTATCATGTTGCCACCTCGCAGTCCGTTACCACAACACTGCTTTTACTAAACATTACTGCTGAAAAAAGTAAAATAACAAATACCGAACTCCAAGGAAAATTCAAAACGGAAAGTCCTTTATCAAATGGCGAAATCAAAAGCTCAAACACATCAAACGAATGGAAAACAACTGTCATAATCCTGACTTGGTACAGGCATTTCATTATGTATGAAATGGTAGATTAAACCTGGTTTTATAGTTAGCTAAACCTCTCACAGAATTCAATTATATTGACAACAATGCGAGATCAAAACAAACAGACAAACAAACAAAAATGTCAAAAATTGGGGTACAGCAGTCAACATTGTGTTATAATCTAAATCACTATTATATCAAAGAACTATTTCAACAAAGAAAAAACAAAATGGCATATAAACACTTATAGACAAAGTACATAAGCAAAAATGAAAGACAAGAATACAAAAATGACCATAGCACAATTGCTTAGACCATTAATGAGTTAACCTATTTATGTAGCAAGTTTGTTAAAACTATGATACACCGAGTTAAAAATCAAATACATTTTTCAGCGGATTTGTGATTACTTTTAAAAAATTAACAACCTTCATTAAGCAGAGTTGTATATTTGACTGGTTTTATGTAATCTGTTTAGACTTAAAGTGTTTTAAAAAGAAAAAAAAGTTAAATTTCCGTACACAGAACACGTGTTTCGTGTACATTAATTGTGATCATGCGCACACTATTACCTTATTTTATGAATTTATAGTGTGCAGGCAAAATGTTTCATTTGAATCATTTCAACACCCGAACACTGGCTACATCAACAGAACCAAAAGAAGAGCAAACTCACTAGAAAACAGTGAAACCGCCAATGGGAATGTCGTGAACACGGAAACCCAGGACGATGTTGAAACTGAAGTCCGCTTATTATTAAAGGTGTGTAGTAGACAACAATAAAGACAATCGCATTGAACAGAAAAATTTAGTAGGGTCAAGTTATGAATCAGAAGTTACACTTTGTGGAATTAAAACAAATGCATTATTGGACACTGGTAGTTGTGTCAGTACAATAAGAATTTCATAATAAACATTTGTCCTATTTACAATTGAGTCAAGTTGAAGGAATTATAAATATTGAATATGCAGATGGAAATGTGTTACCGTATCTAGGACTTATAGAAGCAGACTTGACCGTGAAAGGTATACCACTTGACCATGTACAACATTGTTTGTTTTTAGTAGTACCTGAAAGCAGATACAGTAAATCAGTACCAATACTACTTGGAACCAATATTTTGGCAGAATTTAGGAATACATGTAAAGAAAAGGTTGGAGAAAAATACTTACAAGATTCAGCTTTATTTTCACATTGGTATTCAGTATTTAGATATATGACTATTCGTGAAAAGACTTTGAAGAAATACAACAACAGATTAGCCATGGTTCGATGTGCTGAACAACAAAGAATATCGATTAAGCCAAACATTTCCGTTTCAATCAAGGGATACTGAACCAAGAATAATGGGTTATGTAATGTGCCAGATGTTTACGAAGAAAATCATCTATAAACATAAAAAAAAGCTCCGTTGGTGAAAATTACTAGTAGTTATCCCTTGGAATTAGTTTGTTTTGATTTTTTATCTTTGGAACCATCCAAAGGAGGAATTGAAAATGTGTTAGTAATGACGGATCATTTTACCAGGTACATGATAGCAGTCCTCACAAAGAATCAAACAGCAAAAACCACGACAAGAAATTAGAAATTTAGAAGTAGGAGACACGGAAATCATTCGTTACCTGTTGGATCAATGGATATTGAAAACACAATATCAACTCAGAATGAGGAAGTAAAACTTGATACACAAGGAAAAAAAGTAAAAAATTCATCAGATGTAAAATGTGACGTCACATGTGAATTTTAAACAGAAAGTGATACAGGCTGTGAGTTAGATATATCAATTAATTATCCCAATAAATTTAATGCACACAGCGTTGATGGAGAAACAAACAACGCAAATGAAGTTAATACAGAATATGAAATTGTTCAAATTGTTCCAGAGCCCCAATTGCCGATTAGGTATGCTAGACGTAGGAAAAAGCCAGTTTTTATCAGATGAATCAAATGTCTGCTCAGTCATTACCAGAGACACAATATGTGTTAATCAACTTGATTTCTTCAGTTTTACAGGGTGTATCAGAAACAATGGTTAGCAGAATTGTAAATACTATTTTAGATGATGGTTAGTCTGAACAGAAATAGATTAATGTCGAGACGCCATTTCTAGAATGTAATGGTGACATTTTAGTGGTCCATTTTTAGTGTGACGTCCATTTTCACTGAACTAGATATAAGAAGATGTGGTATGAGACAACGCTCCATCCAAGTCACAATTTGTAAAAGTAAACCATTATAGGTCAAAGTACGGCCTTCAACACTAGTACACATTTTTGTTTAGGGGCCAGCTGAAGCCCGCCTCTGGGTGCGGGTTTTTCTCGCTGTGTTGAAGACCCATTGGTGGCCTTGAGCTGTTTTGTGCTGTTTTGTCGGTTTGTTGTCTCCTTGACACATTCCCCATTTCCATTCTCAAATTTATTGTGATGTTTGTGAATTTATTTTTATATATGTGTTTTATTTCATGAAAACAAAATTGTGAAACCATTGCTATAAAAATAATAAAAGTCTGAAAATAAATAATAAAAGGATAGCAGTTAAAACTTTTAATAAATTGTTTGAATTACTTAATTGAAGTGTTAGAATTTATTGTATAGAAACTGGTCTCTATATAAAGTGAAGTATTCTCGCATTATTATGCAAATTAGTTTAGTCCGGGTAGATTTCCCGCTAGTAATGCACGCTTGATGATTGTTTTCGTTTTACGGGTAGATTTGTTGAAGGGGTGGATAATCTTTTTGTATTGAAGATTTGTCCAAAGATATGTGGTTGTTATAGTTAGAAATATCAGGTAAGCCTATGATTTTCTATTGTCAGGTTTCCATATTTTTCGGTTTGATATAGTTCATATAGCGCGCATTTGTCAAATTATTTCTAGTATTGCGGGATTCGCTATTCTTTTTAAACTAACATTTTATTGCATGTTCCTTATTTTTACAATGAATGCACATCCTTGACGCACAAGTATGATTTGTCAGTGAGCCTAAAATCCATAATTTTGGTATGTGTATATTAATGGTTTATAAAAACATATTATTTCAGAGTGAGCGTATTTTTTTCCATATTTCCGGTGAGATATGTATGTTAATGTAGAAAATGTTTTGTATGTTCTATTATTTATAAATTTTAACTTTACTGTCCGCTGTATAGATGATGTTCTCTCACTAAATAATTCAAAATTTGGTGACTATGTTGAAAGCATCTATCTTAACGAACTTGAGATAAAGGACACACCAGATACAGTTAAGTCTGCCTCATATCTTGACTTGCATCTAGAAATTGAAAATGAGGGTCGTTTAAAAACAAAACTTTACGACAAAAGAGATGATTTCAGCTTCCCTATTGTGAACTTTCCATTTTTATGTAGCAATATTCCAGCAGCGATTGTATTTCCTATCATGATTTCCTTGATGGAGGGTTGCTGCTCACAAAGAAGCTATTAAACCAAGAGTTCCAAGTGGTGAAGCTGAAATCATCCCTTCGTACATTTTACGGACGCCATCACGAGTTGGTTGACCGTTATGGAATATCCTTTTCACAGATGACAGCGGATATGTTCCACTTGTCGTAACTACAATCCTGTCCGCTTTTCCCCGAATGTGACCTACCGAATTAGACTTATTACGTAGTTTGTACTAACATGAGCAACACGACGGGTGCCACATGTGGAGCAGGATTCTTACCCTTCCGGAGCACTTGAGATCACCCCAAGTTTTTGGTAGGGTTCGTGTTGTTCAGTCTTTAGTTGTCTATGTTGTGTTTTGTGAACTGTAGTTTGTCTGTTGGTCTTTTTCTTTTTGTAGCCATGGCGTTGTCAGTTTTTTTTTCTACTTATGAATTTGAATGTCCCTTTGGTATCTTTCGCCTCTCTTTTTCAAGATTCCGTTTTGGGGATAATTTATTGTCTTTTGGTTTTTGAATGGAAGGGACATATATTTGTCCCTCTTTGATTTACGGTTTATGGTTGATATTCCTTATTTGCAAGAAGGAAAAAAACACTACAGGATTAAATACATTTTTCTACTGGGTATTGATGTGTAAACTGTAAATAACAAACTGAATAAATGTAAAGTTTTTAAGTCAGCGACCCAGTTTACACATCGTTAACCCGTAGTAAAAATGTGTTTAATCCTTCTGTTTCTTAGCCCAAACATTTGCAACTTTTTATACAAAAAAATCATTGGGATCAATTTACCGTCAAATCCACAGTTGACATGTCGTAACTAAGAAGTTAGTCGCCATATTCACTGGTTGGAATCCATAAATGTTCGATTAATGCAATAAAATCGAAAATGAAACAACACCTAACTCAAAAACTATATTCACGCCACGTGAGATATTATCCGAATTTGAAGCGTATAAGTAACGAAATAAACTACAGCTTGAGAGTTTTCATTAGTATGAATTCATGTGTTGCCATGACATGAACGTGCCAAGATTATACAATTATACATTTTTCCCAGCTCTAATGCATTATTTATTTTTGCGATGCATTAGAGCTGGAACAACAGATCCGTAGATTTTTTTTTCGATATTTTATTTATCTTAGAACCCCAGGATCCCATGCAGGAGTATCGCGCATGAATCGGCTATACGAAAGAAGTTTCGGCAACATCGTCTATCGAACCTGGGTGGGGGGGGGGGGGGATCTAACGGAGCAATCCCATTTAAGTATTTGAAGATATGCAAATCATATAAGAATTATTAATATATATTCTGATGTATCATTTATCTCCCAAAAATCTTTGAAGGAAAGTTGATTTTCCTCTCATAGTAGCAGAAATATTGGATAGGATAACTACTAATATAAGGATGAGCACCAGAAGATGAATCCGTATTATCGTGATCTTCTGTATCCATCTTATAAAATTCCTCGCTGACTGTCATGCCGAAAACTTCCTGACAGGGACTAGTATATTTAAGAAGGTAAAATGGAGAATCAACTGGAAGCAAAATAGCAGTCTGGTAATTTCCGTCATTTCTACAAAATTAAATATGAAAGTTTTAATACAATTTATATGCTTACCTAAACACATATCAATCATAGAAACATTTCAAAAACTTATTGAGATAGTCTCTTTGGAACTCATTGGGCTCATCTGACTGCCTTAATCATGCAATTGTTTGTCCGCAGTCTTCTTTATGGAGTTTTCAGTAAATCTCTAGCAGTTGAAACCACAAAACGGCTCCATAAAAATGTATGTATGCGTCATTATATTCCCGCTTTGAAATGAGGATTGACCTTTTCCGTTGGTCCATCTGTGACGTAATATGTTTTTAGCACTTACAAATCACAGCTTTTTACATTACGCTTTCATTATGTTAGCGATAAATTGTAATTTATTATATACCTTCTTTCATTTTGGCACATATACTTAGCCCATTATACATCGTTCACTGGACACAACGAAATCGGATTGGAAATCTGATTTGACAACAATGCTGATTTGCGTTTGCATATATTCCAGATTAAATTCGGTGCATTTGTGAATCCTGAGTTAAACCATTTGAGATAGGTATTTTGATATTCGCTCTCAACGAACATCGACTTTTAGTGGAGAATAAATATACGCGTGTAGGAAGATATAACAGCACTGGAGCTAATATAGCGAAATTGACATAAAAAGTTCCAGATCCTTATAAAACCACGATTTATATGTACAGACGATATTAAAAGCCTAAAGCATTCATAATAAGCGATCGATGGCCGCGAAATTAAACACATTTCAAACAATTTGACAATTGTTAAAATGACCTTTTCACTACCTTCATTCTGTTTATCTGAAAATTTAAATCTTAAAGTTCGATTTTCCGTCCGTATATTTGTATGTAGCGTATTATCTATGTGCTGGTCTGAATGTTTACGTTCTCTTACCCCCTCGAAATATACAACATAAATTGGTGCGTTCTGGTATAGTTTGTATCGAAAATCAAAATTGCCACTGGTAAAATTTCCTAGTCTAGTAAAAACTATTTATCAACAATACATTTTTAATTGTATCATTGTTATAAATAGATTTTGTTTCGGATATTTTCTTTTTGAAATTCACCTGCTGTACATGACGAAATGTTAAACAAACCGATGTCCGAACATGAACAATGGCACCATTTTTGTCCTATCAGAAAATAATTTGTTTTACAAAGTACTATATTCGTCTCAAAAGGAATAATCAAACGACTATTTTTCTCGATCCTCCTACTTGTCTAAATAGTATATAAAGAATTAAAAAACTATGTTTACCTGCAACAAAAATTAATTGTTGTATCCTTCCCATACGACCCATCAGGTAATGTACCGTCATGGCTGTTAGCATTGTCGTGGTCTTCGTCATCCCATTTTATAGATCCAACGTTAAAACCTGGAACATCATTTGAAAGAGACACAGAGGAATGATCAAGCATCGAAAATAAAACGACAGAGAGAAGAGTATCAATGACAAATCGATAAAAAAAAACTAAGTCAAACACATGGAATATAATGTGTATTTCATCGTATATATATTATATTTTTCCTGTTCTTTACAGTCTTGCGCATATTCAAACTAACCATCTGATAATATATTCTTGTTTATGAAATCAAATGTTACATCTCTTAGATATAAATATGATTCTATCCAAGTAATGTTAATTCTTAATAAGGCAGCATGATTCACTGCTTGTGAACGATTCTTTAATCGACAAATTTCAAGGTAGCATTTGTGTACATAACTTACTGAAGTAGTCACTCTCATAACTATTCTTTCCAACGGAGGTGCGTTAATGTTTGCAGGAGGAAGAACAACGTTGTTACTTACCTATCGAATTATTAGCGACGTTAAATCAAATATTTGCATGATAGTATGCAACCGCTGTTTATGTCTGGATCTCTAAACGCTAGAACCATTGCACCTACTATGCAGCTTGCCAAGACTGGCCAGTATTCATTGACTTGATTGTTTTAGTATATCACTTGCAGTTTAGTATATTTCTTATTCCTTTCACTTTTTAGACGGTTAAATAAATAAGGCATTGATCACTAATTAAAAGAGTTGCATGTGATTATAAAACAAACACGCCTCCTGGCCATGATATTCACATAAAATCGAGTTTTAGAAATATGCAACAAAATAAAAGAAAAGGTCAAACGTTCAAACGATTTATCCAGTTTTTTAAATAAATTTTGTATAGAAATGTTTTCATAGCAAGATGTGTAAAGATTAAAATGAATTTAACCAGATTTTGCTAAATTATTGAATGTATCAATTATGATTGTAATTGCAAAGAGGATGAATATAAAAAAGGGTCATATGAGAAAGCGGATTCTTCAACCTTTGGATTTTTTAATCTCTGTTGTAACAATGTTTGCAAACTATTGATTTTAAAAGCATTTTAAAATAAGGAAACAACATAAAACTTTAAGATTATTCAATAACATCAAAGTATTTCACTATGCATAAAAAATATTCTTTATGTGTCTTTTTTTTTTCGAAACCATACAAGTATTTTGAATGGAAAGATACCGCCGTATTAGAAAATCTTATAACAAAAGAATAATTTAGATATGTTTTGGAAAGAATTGGATTGAACTTGAGTATATAAGTTGATATGCGACTGTCATACAAGTGAGAGGTTTAGCTACTATGAAACCAGGTTTAATCCACCATTTTCTACGTAAGGAAATGCCTATACCAAGTCAGGAATATGACAGTTATTTTCCATTCGTTCGATGTGTTTGAGTTTTTGATTTTGCCATTTGATAAAGGACTTTCCGTTTTGAATTTTCCTTGGAGGTATTTTTGTTGTTTTACTTTTTGATATATTGCAAATATCAAACCTTGTGGGCAGTTTCCTTTCTTCAATATGCAGTAATTCCCCTTTGGCCAGTCTCTTTTATATTCTGTATTTTCGTTCATCGTTTTAATGCAAAAATGAAATATGGGTTTCCCATCGCTCCTTACTGAATCTGTAAAAGAAATTGTTATCTGTAGCTGCATATTTCTTAGAGTATAATAGTATTGTATTTCAACATTTACCAATATCTATTGACAGTTTGGTCAGCAATCAGAGAATGGCGATGCAAAAGCGGAGTCAATAACAGGATAATTTTGACAATCAAAACATTACCTGATGCCCGTATATATTCATATACTATATATTTAAATCAAACATTTCAAAATTGATTATGTGATGTCTGCACTTGCGTGCATAGTTTTAGACAATCAGTCGGGGAGTTTCTGCCCAAAGTTTGTAGCGTTATCAATATAACGTTATATGTTATTTTTTGTGAGAAGAGCTACACATGTCCTTATTAGTGGTTTTACACTCTTTAGTAATAATGATTATTCAGATGAACTTTAAACCAGTAAATAATGAATTAATTTCCATCCACGACCTTTTTTAAACTTTCCAAAGACGTACACAATAGATTTCAAAAAATGTCCGCGATCAGCAACTTAAAAGAAGAAGTCCATGCACAGTAGAGTTTGGCATGGTAGTGATATCCTTAAGTACATTATTTACAAACAAAGTTGATAGACTGGCTGGTACTTGTTTCTTTTTTTTTTCTGAGACCCAAGACTTCTAGGAGCTACAAGTAACTTACCGAACACTGTTTTTTAATGTTTTTGCAATTACTTTGAAACTGCAAAAGAAACCGTTTCAATTTTCCGAATTGTTCGTTTTACCCTAAGGATTTTTTTCAATCAAATTTGACAATGGGATCCGGTGTATTCTATTTTGAGTTATTCACCTTTCTGTTTTAACAAAGTTACCTTCGCAACCGAAACGTATGAAGGTCAAGGATATTTCAAATTGAGATATGTTTTCCATCAAAGGAAACTGAGGTTAAATCAAGCGAGGACACCAATAAAGTTTTACCTTTGCATGTAATTGCTTATGTTCAGAAACCTGTACAGATATCGATAAAAAGTGTTTTGTTTTATTGTTAGTTTAACGCAAATTCTTTACATTTGAATAAAGATTAAACTGACATTCTAGAGTTTTGCATTTGGTCTTTATCGCTATTGTATTGAAAACATTATAAATAAATGATGACAAAGAAGGAAATAGAGTAAAATGTTTATATATTAAGGCAACGATATCGTATATAGGGTTCAAAGGTACATCACATCAATATGAGTTGATACCCAGGAATATCTTATTGATTTTTGAGTTGATTATTATTAATGAATACTTATACAAAGAAATATCATATTTTTAAAATGAGTGCAAGAAACTTTTATAAGAGTCCCACAAGGAATTTATTGACACCCCTTAAATTGTATTAAGCCACAAGCGCACTGTGTAACGAATTTATTTCTTACCTATACTATATAGTATTGGAAATATTGACGTTGTTGTAAAAGACTAATTGATATGTTTCAGTTGTTGTTATAGTGATCAATGTGAGTCACTAGACCAAGTCTATCATATTTCAGAACCAACTTGCATTGGTCTATTCAAAAACAAATGCCAACAATAATAATTTAATATCAAACAATCAAAGAACATTGATATCACAATGTGAATACAACATTAACATGATTAAATAGAACTTTCAATAATTGTAAAGCTAGTATGTTTGGGTATCTATATTTCACCGACTGGTATACTTGCATATTGTTTCTGGAAATCATTTGAACAATTGTGCCTAGTTTTATAATAAATATTATTATCTTAGCGGCTAGATAATTATTTCTATTTTTTTTTTTTGTCTTTTATTTTTGGAGAGGGCGTCGATATGCAGATGTCTCATAGATTTATACCGCACATTTCCTTTTATTCATACCAATTTTGTTTTGAATTTCGGCCAGTTTCTGGAATTACTGTTTTACACGAACAACTCTCTATATACATGTAGTTTATATAATTTGCGAAATTTTCAATGGTTTTCAAAGTAGAACATTTCTCAAATCTGATTCATTGGGTAAATAAATAAAATAGAAAGTGAATTACCATCTAAATGTATTCCAGGAGACCAGGCATTGTTGTTGTCATGGTCTTCTGCATCTTGACGATTCCATCCCTCTGCCCAAGCAAATGCAGCTTTTGGGCATCCACTTTTTGGATGATATAGTCCATAAGTACCATATGGCCATGTTATAGGAATTTTGATAACTGGATCTGAAATAGAGAAACGTAAATACAACCTTAATTATTCACCATCTCCATTACATAAAACCTCCAATAAGGTCTGTGAATCGTTAACACGACATACTAGTAGTAGCATCTGGCGTTTTTTTACATATATACAAAGAAAATAATAAAGATTTAATTTTTAAAGCTTCCGTGTCATTTGTTTTTTTTGGAGAAATGGGAAGGGATTGAAGGATTTGGAAATATTTTTGTATTTAGATTTTTACGAAAATAAATAATGTGTCTTCAAGACAAACATAAACGGGTCTTAACTTCATTCGAATTCGAATAGCTTGTTGTTTTTTTTCAATTTTATTTGTTTCTGGAAAACAATGGAATCGCAAAATTCTGAAAACATAATATATTAAATTACATATTTCACGAGGTAAGCCATACAGTCTCTAAACCAGCCTCTATTTTCTTTCTTTTTTATTTTAATGTGCAAGTGACTGAAGAGCCTGTCTGCCAGAAAACCATGCAAAATCCAAAATATTGTCCAAATGGCATGTTGGAATTTTTGAAATATTTTTATATTTTTGAAATCTTTTATATAAAGCAAAGGCAAAAATACATCTTAGACTTTGTTGCATCTCGCTGTTTTTAGAAACAGCATCATTTGCATAAATGCATGAAAATCACTAAAAAGCTAGTGAAAATGTGTATAGTTTCAACTCAATAAGTTCTGATTTTTAACAATGTTACTGGCCTTTTAAACTTATATTAGCTAAAAATGACCTGGATAGACAAATATAAACCATGTCAGGAAAGACTTGTCTCGAAAGGTTATTCTGTGGAGGGGTATGAAAGAAGGCCTTGTAGGCCACAATGAATTTTGAAGGAAGTTTGAGTTCATCAATCTCCTAAAGTGGCACTTATTTTTTCACGAAATAAGCATCAGTGAATAGACCAATAGATATTGTCAAAAATATAAAAAATCCAATTTTGGCAAATTATTGCAAGATGTTGAAATTTGCATCTAACTTTCCTATATTTTGATAAATTTCTATATTATTTAAAGTCTAGTTAAAACCCATTTAACCCTAAGCTTTGAATTAACTTAAGACCTGAATTACAGAAAATTACTGCATGACATATTTACATACATAATGTCATTATTTTATGTACTATTGCCGAAAAATCTCTGGAATAGAGAATACAGGTGTTCTATGAGTTATCTCCCTTTATTTACACTCTTAGTTGTGAAAACATAATGTTACCAAATGGTTGTCTGTCTTGGAAAGGGAGAACAAGAAATGTGACTCCTCATATTTACTGGTATTTCTTGTGGGAAATAACCAAATCATGACAATGACACACTCACAAAACCTATTTCACAGTGAAATAAGAACACACATATACATTTGATTGGAGTGCAGTGTCTGGAAAGAAGCCAACGTGAACCAAGAAAGTTTACTTATTTTCAATTTCATATTACTCTGGATTTTTAATATTGATGCTAGATTGCTTCAGTTAAAAATATGTCAGCAACACAGATACTATTTTTGGCATTTATTGGAAAAAGAAGCTTAAGTAAACTGAAAAGTTGCTACCAAGAACATCCAGCTTCCAGCAAGGCAACAGAAGACAGATGATGTGCCTCTCCGAGAGTCTACAAGGCCTACTAGTTGGAGACCAGAGAGAGGTCATCAACATAGGAACAGGTAAGAAAACACCCTCTCTCCATACACACACACACACACACATAGATAGGTTCCTGAGGACCATTTATTTTTTTGGGGAAAAAGGGGGGATGTGGTTTGTCCTTGGAAGATTTTTGGATCAAATGTTTTTGGGGTAAATTAATTATTTTTGCCATAGGCTGATTTCAATTAACTATTTTCATGACCTAAAATCTGAGGCTTAGAAATTACTCATTTTCTTATAAGCCTTCTGCAACAAAAGAATTTATTTTCAACAAAATTATGGTAAATAATTTCTGTATATTAAATAAATCCCACCCCTTTGAATTTCTTGACAAGTATACTCTGTTCTGATTATTTTGTTCTAATTAATACAATTATTTTATATGCATGTGAATCTGTATTTTGACGACCCTTTCCCTTAAAAATATATCTGACACAATTTGGTCATACATCCATTGGGTGTTTCATATAGCAAATTACAAAAAAAATAAAAATAAACCTCAGAATATCATACAGTTTGTAATATATAATTATGGGTTTTAAAAACCCTCTTTGAAATCAACTGTCCATTCAGACAAGAATTCACTATTGACATATATTCATGTTTCTCCTTTCTACTGTGACATTGGCTTGATAAAATTAACTAGCTAACGTTCATGAATTTGATATGGGTTATCAAATATCTGTATATGTTTATGAATGATCACATAAAATCATAACAAATTTCTATTGGAAAAATGGAGACCTTCTCGAAAGCAGTAACATGTCAAACTGTACTTTAGTATAGAATTGTCAAACAAAATAACCAATCTTGAGCAGATCCATGATTTGTGTTTCCTAACCAACCCCCCCCCCCCCCTTTTTTATAAAAGAAATAAAGGTAAAAACCACACTTAAATAAAGTAGACAATTTAAAACCACACTTAAATAAAGTAGACAATTTAAAAATGCGCAAAGGGCATTAACTCACATTTCAAATGAATTCCATAAGACTTATAAATTGAAGTTATCAATACAAATTAGGCCGTTAGTTTTCTCGTTTGAATTGTTTAACATTTGTCATTTCAGCCTTTTATAGCTGACTATGTGGTATGGGCTTTGCTCATAGTTGAAGGCCGTACGATGACCTATAGTTGTTAATTTCTGTGTCATTTGGTCTCTTGTGGAGAGTTGTCTCATTGGCAATCATACCCCATCTTCTTATTTTTATATATCAATAAAAAAAACTATAATGAAGGAAGGTACTCATGTACTTAGGACGGGTTAGCTTGTCGAGCTCCACTAGTAGATACCCTTGTATTGTTTTTAAAAAAAGCAGTGTCAGCAGAAACTGAACATTTTCAGAACGAAATTTCTTAAAGTTTATACAAAAACCTCACTTCTAAGAATACCATATATACATATGCATAGACAAGCATGTATATATATGCTAAAAAAGAAAATAGTTATTACAAAGGGAAACTTCTAGGTTGCACTTTGTAAATACAGCTGTTTCAGAAACCATGCCTCTTTTGGGGAGATATATGATATTCATAGATATTTTGTTTTGTTTACATACTGGTTCCCACATATGATCTCTATGTTTCATCTTATAGAAACATAACTTGGGAATGTTACCAGTATAATACACATGGATAGCGGCGAAATTGAATTCTGAGGAGGACCAAAAGTGAAGGAAGGGGGAGTACAGTTTAAACTGTTAGAAGTTCGGGGCATATAAATGTTGAAAATATGCCGCACAGCCCTATATTTTTACCTTTGAAAAAATTGAAGCACATATGAACTTTCCATTTTAGGATATAATTTTTTACGAAACTTCATAGTAAAAGTGGCACAGTTTTAGCCGTAAAAGGAGTTCCTATGGGAAATTGCATTGTCTATATTTTCAGAAATGCAACCTCTATGGGCTGAGACATGTATAGCTGATTTTCATGAGCACAAAGGTTTTGCTACAGTCAGTTTTGAAAACTAATTTAAATATTGCAGAAGGATGGTCTTTTACGGTTTCTATAAGCAATTGAAACGTGTTACTAGTATGGTTAAGGAATTTTTACATGACATATACGTAGAATGCAGTGCTACAGAAAAAAAACGACCAATTTTTGATCAAACCTATTATATTTTGAAACTATTAATAAATGGAACAAAGAAATTTAACTCTGACGAGTGGTTACCAAATCTCGAGTTTGGAGTGTATTGGCCAAATTTGTCAAACTTGGATCTAGATCTAGAGATCCAGCAAAGTCGTCATTAGTTAAAATTGAGAATTTGAATATAGTTTATGACGAAGATTTACAAAGCAGAATGTCAAGTGATGACCTACCGGTACATGCTGTTTCTACAGACTTGGCAACATATATTATTATACAGATAGCATAGACATTTCAACTTTACATTCATTCTTGTTGCAAAAACAGTACAGTGTAACTACAAAAAAATGCCACCGTCATGGTAATAGTGTTTTACTTTCCTGCATTAATTGCCTCGATACATGTATTTTGAATTAATATAAAATGAAAATGATTGAAACTTGTTATTTTATGTACATGAAAATCTGACAGATAAAGTCTTATTGAAGTCAAACAGTGCTAAAGGGTCATTTTGAACTTGCTGTGAGCTTTTTGTACATGTTGAAAGCATCACTGTGACTTTGAGTTGAAGAACAGCAACAAAAGCTCTCTTAATTTGCTAGGATTTTATCAAGTAAATATAAAGATTTTGTGTCATGAATCTATACAACATATCCCTCCTTTTTAATTTAGATATAGTAATTGGTGATTTGATAAATTTTCTCTACATGTCTCATTCCATTGGAAAGATTCCTATGCGTATCCACAATAGTGAACCAACCATATCCCCTCAACGTTCTTCTTTTAACAAATTATTTAACAGGCCAAAAGGGCTAGCTTGACCTGTAATTACTTGCAGTCCTGAATCCATTTGATCCATTTGTAAAGAGGCTTATTATACCCATGCTAGTGATAGCTGGGGATATATAATATTCATAATGTCGGTCTGTCTGTCCGTCCGTCCGTCTGTTTGTTTGTAATATATCTACAATCCTTAAGTCCTCTCAAAGTATAGAATGGATTTAAACCAAACCAATGATATGTCTTGTGAGGATTGTGAAATTGTGCACCATATGTTTTTTTTTCTATTTACGGTTTATGGGGGGAAATCTGGACCAAAAAGGAGAAAATCAGTAGTGGTGTAGTGTAACTACCTGCGGCCAGCAACTCCTCCGCAACCACTAAAGGGTTTAGTGTGAAAGTTGTATGAGATATTAATTAAATATTTTAGTTGTGCATCATATATTTATTTTCAACAAGGTGGGACCCCAGAGGGGGATTGTTGACGGGTCCAAATAAGAGAACTATCATTAATATAGGATAACACCTGTTAAACCACAATTCCTTCCAAATTAAAAAAAAATACATTGAGTACTATGATCATTTGCCGAAATTGATTTTTTTTTTTATTTTGTAGATATATGATTAGGGTTTAAGAAAAAACAATTGGCATTAAAATATTTTTGCCACTTTAGAAAATATAGACTTTTAAAAATTAGCAAATTTCACCATTTTAGCAGTTTCGTAAAACTTCGGATATTTGGACCAGAATGAGCATATATAGGAAAAAAATTTAACCTCAGGTATTAACATATTTTGACAGTTAAAATACAGTATTACAACATATTATTACCATTAAAACAGTTACATGTTGATAACCACTGGTATTTGTCAGCTTAAAACTGCTGAAATTGGCTAATTTTCAGCTTTATTTTGACCATAAATGGCTAATTATAGATGGCGCTCCGTATAGGGATTAACAATGAATATTTAAAAAAGATATTTTGCACTGAGAGTAGTTGCTATGAAGATATCATGTATGCAAAATTTCAGGTTAATATGATAACATTGCATTTGGAGCCTATTGCATGGTTTTCTGGTAGACTGACTCTTAAGTAGACTTATTACAGGGTTTTTACTATTATGAGCAAAATGACGGCTGCCACATGTGGAGCAGGATCTGATTACCCTTCCGGAGCACCTGAGATTACCCCCAGTTTATGGTGGGGTTCGTGTTGCTCAGTCTTTAGTTTTCTATGTTGTGTTTTGTGTACTGTTGTTTGTCTGTTTGTCCTTTTTTCTTTTTTAGCCATGGCATGGTCAGTTTATTTATAACTTATGAGTTTGAATGTCCCTTAGGTATCTTTCGCATCTCTTTTACTGTTTTCTGCTTTGTAAGAACGGAAAATTAACATTTATCAGTATGGGGTGAAACAATTGTGTTAATTAGATGTCAAACGAAAATGCATAGGATTATATTTTGTACATATAAATGTCTTTATTAATACTAATTATGATCAAACAATACGTGAAAATAAAATACTAACCTAGTGGCGTCGATATAATTCCATTTAATCCCGGGTACTCTCCTAAAGCTTTTACGACATTTGTTTGACGTTGTGGCAAATTTAATCCGTCTACTTCACTGCAAATTCCATTTGAAAGGAAAGTTGTTGAATTATTCCAAAATGTATCTTGAATAAAGTAAGCAATTGAACCCATTTTGTAAGCTAGGGGTTCCGGATTGCCAACAGTTCCAATGTTTAAAGTTCCATCTAAATGACCTCCTTTTATTTTGTAGAAATCGTTATGGCTCAGTTTAGAGATATCTAGTTTATAAACCGTACCATATCCCATGTAATTTTCAACAGATACTGATCCGACATCCGTGTCGTACTACATGCAAAAGAAAATGAATCAAGTCTTAAATTTTATAATATGAACATTTCTTAAAACATGATTTGCAAATACCAACAAAATTGCCCATGCAGATGTGATGTAATCGTGATGATTTCCAACTGTAAACATCCCATTTTACAGCAGTAACAAACCCTCTGCTCCGTCATATAGTGTTTACATATATCAGTTAATGCTTTACGCTCCTACATGTTCATACTATGCGGACTTCGTTAACTGGGGTGTGCTCCTTACACAAAATCTGCTCCAACAGAGTTATGAGGAAGAGTGACTGAAATTGACACTGCATAAGGTGTACGGTCACCATTACGAATTGCTTGACTGATACGACGTAACTGTGTCTCAACTCCGTAGCGACATGATTCGCGGTCTAAGATCCAAGTATAGTCGTCTGGTCTGTATTTTATCGATTGATGGATTTGCATGGGGTTGATGCATGCAGAGTAGGAGACACTTACCCTGTCGACACACCCCGTCTCTCTCCTTCTAGAGTCCATGTGTTTCCTTAAATGTTTGTTTGTTACCTTGATTTGTCTCTTCTTAATCGGTTAAAGAGATTTGAACATCGGTAAACTACTATAGCCTTAATCTATATATTTTTGTTAAGCAATTTTCACTGCATTTTTTAATCAAATTTCAAATATAATAAAAGTTCGATTATTCTCCAAGTGCGTATTTCTAGTCTTCATGATAATCTTTTTGTATTCGATTACAATTGCAGATGGGTTTTTTTTTCATATATGTGTTTTTACCTTTCATTCATGCAGACTAGCACTAACTTAATTCATGTCTCTGTTTCAGTACTTATGTGTGATAGAATCAAAATAGAAGACATATACTCCATCCAATCTAAAATGTATTGTCTCTATGACTGCAGTTATGTATTTTAAATGATATGACATGTTCATTGATATGCATTCACATGTACATTAGTATAACACTTGCTCATACCGACAGTAGGATTTCTGCTATTTGTGACGCTGATTGTTCAAACCGGTTTACTGTTTTTGTTCCAATATCCACTCCAACAACCACGTGCTGTTATTAGATTGAAAAATATAAATTTGTAATGTATTGAAGATAAGCCTTATCAGTTTTGATTTATTGCATGCTGCACACTTTGTATTACTACATATGCTGAAAACGAATAGATCTTACATATTGAAAGCGGTGGTACGAATTGGTTTACCGATAGATGTGTCTGCGTCTCAACTAACTATCGACATGATTTAAATACCAGATCAGTCGTTTGAACTGTGAATTTACCCATTACATGTATGTATTAGATACAAATCAAAGGTAACAAAGAAACAGGCCGGTAACAAGCGTTGCCGGATAGTTTTTCTGCACGAGTAGTCAGGTGAAGGTCCGAGGCGATAGCCGAGGACCTTGACCTGACTACAAGTGCAGAAAAACTATACGGCAGTTTGTTTCCGGCCTGTTTTTTGTTACCTTTGTTTTGTATCTGACTTGTACGACGTTTCAAAATTAAACAGATTAGAAACTTAAATGACCATATACAAGTTAATGTAAGTTACAGTTACAGTTACAGTTTAAACAAACTTTTTTTTTCACTTTCCTTCAGCCGAGAGTTTTTTTTTCTCAAGAAATTCAAAAATCTAATAATTTTATAAAAAAGAACCATATCAAGTAAAAGATGAATGTCGTACACATTTGAGACTTTTTAACACGTAACTTTGCAAGTAAGTAATGTATGAAAAAGATTTAAGAGGTAAGCAAGCTAACATTTGATTTTTATTTGGGGAAAACGGAAAAGGGGGGGGGGGGGGGGTTAAACATTTAAAATAACAGGCTTGGTCCTTTTTTGTTGAAAAAATGCAGGATGTGCCATTCCAGTTCCCATTCCCCCTTAAAAAAAATAATAAAAATCGTCCGTTTGCTCCCAAATATATGAATTCAATATATATGATTTCAATAACAATATAAATGTATAAAAAGAACGAATTTCTTATTTCATATGTGAATGAAATGTTATGAAAAAATAGATTTTGGCTTGTTATTAGATATATATAGGCATATATTTTGGTTTTTTTTTTTAAATTTTCATGCTTGTAGGTCTCTAATAGTATTGATCAGGATTAAACACGTGTCACAATATGATCCAATCGCAGCTTACCGTCCAAAATTGGTGACATAAGTTGAAAGATTTTCTTCAAGATTTGCTGCCTATTTGAACATGTATTACACGGACACTTTTTATTTATAGGATCAATCGTGCATTAGTGAGTTGATAGGGATTTTATCTTTTGATTTGATTTGATTTTTTTATATATATTTCCTGTCTTTTATATTGAAATATAAACGTCGGTACCAGCATTTCTTTACTTTCAGCATTGTCCAGAATACTATTCATGTCCATATATTGAAAAATACATTTACGGACAGACCATTTAGCTTCAAAAGGGGGCATGTTTTTTTTTCTGAGTAAGAAAATTATTTACTTTTTCAACGCTATCACCAAATATTTTTTTTCGAAATTAGCACTATAATATACTGTATTCGGAAAATCAGGAATCAGAACATTATTTTGTCATCTGCTTGACCACACTATATTTTTTCTCATAAAATTGGGGATCAGAATATTTTTTTTTGGAAAAAACCATAACCCCCCTTTCGAAGTTAAATGGTAAATTCCGTAGTGTACTGATATGAATAGTAATAAACTGGAATTGTTTAAAAAAAAAATATATAGTTATTTGATGCCAACGTAAATATTTTGATAAAAAAGACAGGAAATATGTCGGTGAAACAAAAAGTTCAAATCTGATTGAAATTTAAAGTGCCCATGAACTCACTGATCATGCACGAGTGATTCTATTCATCAAAAGTGTACGTGTAACAACTAAAAAGTGTCCGTGTATCATCTATAAAGTGTCCGTGTAACACTCGTTAATATACTGTTTTTCTATAGCTCTGCTGGGGGCAATGTCGTACAAGTACTATCAGCAATTATTTCATATCGGTTAAGAATTAGCTTCTCTTATTGGATAACAAGGGGCCACATGACATTCTTTATTCTTTAGTAAAAAATTTCATCGGTCTTTAACAGAAAAAAAAAAAAAACAGAAAACCGGTCGTTAACGAACTTTTACATGTTAATGACCAGTGGGGCGTGGTTTCTCTGTTTAGAGTGATGTCGCTTTAATAAAACGCAATCGCGATTCAGACGTTTGGAACATGGCTGAACTGGAAGGCACGTCTGCTACAGACAACTCAATGATCGTTTTGCCGTACTTTCCGATACTGATAGATACAAACAACTCAGCAACAAGAGTTATAAAATTATAGAAAACTTTATTGTGTATTTATATACTGAAAAATTGCACTTAAATGAATGGCAGTGACTTATAGTTATCACTATCACTGTTCTTTACTCTTTCATACAGAAATCGTACAATAACTCGAGTTTGCTTTGAACAATTTGAATTTATGAGAATTTTTAAAAACATGGTTCCTCAATGAAATAAACATAATAGTTATTGAAGAACTGGTCATTATCGTGATACAAATGTACATGGACTGCCTGTAGGACAGTGGTATTGACTGCGACAGCGATAATGACCTCGCCTACGGCTCAGTCATTATCGCTGTCTTAGTCAATACCACTGTCCTGTAGGCAGTCCATATATCACGACAATGACCAGTTCTTCAATAACTATTATATAATTGTTACATTTTGTAAAAGTTTGGATTTGCATTGTGGTGATACATGCATAGCAGAAGACGCGTACCCTGTCGACATACGCGGTCTCGCTCTTTTCGTATCAATCCCTCAGCTTTTGACTTTTACCTTTATTTGTATCTTCTCAATTGATTGATGAGATTTGAACATCAGTTAACTACCGTTAATATGCTATTTTATGTATTGTTTTAATGATTTACTTACAGTTCCCCATATATCTAAGAACTGACGATATATAGCTTGGTTGTATTGTACAGGCAGATGACAAACAGCACTTGCAAACTGGTCCGTGACTTTATGAAGATCAGGATACATTGGTGGTAAGACATATCTCGTTCTCCCCTTGTTACATACAGTTTCTGTATCTCTAATCACGTCGTGATTATCATTTGTTCTGTGCTTAATGTCTTTGAAAACTGTTCATATACATACATATTAAAAGTGATAAGTTTGACTGAACTATATTCGAAACAGAGTAAGCAAAACGGCTATTTGAGTTCGCACATTTTTTTTCTTTCCTCTGCGGAATTTGAACCAATGCTTTGTGTCTTGCACCCTAGACTACAGATGCATAGGCTCAAACTCCGCCGCTGACGAAAGAATAGCAATTTGCCACCGTAATTTTGAAGATTAAACATTCTTGGGCTAAATTTTTAGACGAAGTATATGTATTTAGAGTGGTTTTAGCCGCGTCAAACCTTAGTTTATCCAATTGATAAATGTTTTTTTGTGTCGTAGATTGATGTATATAGACATATACAAAAAAAGTCCATTGATGAGACTGTATGTTAATTTTAAAATATGATCTCCCTTACGACAGACAAAACGACTGTTTTGCGAAGTATTCTATCTACAAGCCACAATACATCGTGCACTATGTTGTGACCCTAGATGAATTTAGGCAGACGAGAAAGGGTATCTCTAGACTATCTCAACAGGCTGAAGCTAGCGAACAATAACTAGCGAACAATAAGCCAGCGAACAATAAGGCGATATATCTAAAAACCGAAAAAATGAATAAGGCAGCAACGGCCGTTAAATGAAAAATATTTAAAAAGGCAGAAATTCCGTCCAAATATTGCAATTTCAACTCTATCATGAAATGGTATTTATCCCATCCATTGATAAAACTAGTCACATCTCTTTTTAGGCTAATATTTAGTACCACAATAAATCTGCATCTGTCAACGGATTATTTGTAGGTGTAAGACCACCAATGCACCCACTTCAATTTAGAACGTATGTAAAAGTAGTCCTTCCCTGTAAAATATAGCACCTTTGATGTCATTGTTTAATTGAACTAAGATACACATTTGCAGAAATGGGTGTTGGCCTATTCCATGGCTTCTAGATACAATAAGGAGGGGTGTCACGGGGTATGACTATATAGGTCTTGTAGAGGAGAAACAGGCGCATCTTTTGCGCAAGGTATCGAAGGGCGCTATGTTCAAAAATCTGAAACTAGAGCTCAAAATTTGAAAAAAATGTAAAAAACGGGGGGGGGGGGGGGGGAGGAGGTTGGCCTATTCCATGGCTTCTAGAGAAAAATAATGAGGGGTGTCACGGGGTATGACTATATAGATGTTGTAGAAGAGAAACAGGCGCATCTTTTGCGCAAGGTATCGAAGGGCGCTGTGTTCAAAAATCTGAAACTAGAGCTCAAAATTTGAAAAAAAATTGTTAAAAACAGGAGGGTTGGCCTATTCCATGGCTTCTAGAGAAAAATAATGAGGGGTGTCACGGGGTATGACTATATAGGTCTTGTAGAGGAGAAACAGGCGCATCTTTTGGGCAAGGTATCGAAGGGCGCTATGTTCAAAAATCTGAAACTAGAGCTCAAAATTTGAAAAAATAATATGTAAAAAACAAGGGGGTTGGCCTATTCCATGGCTTGTAGAGAAAAATAATGAGGAGTGTCACGGGGTATGACTATATAGATCTTGTAGGAGAGACACAGGTGTATCTTTTGCGCAAGGTATCGAAGGGCGCTATGTTAAAAAATCTGAAACTAGAGCTCAAAATTTGAAAAAAAAATAAAAAAGGGGGGGTTGGACTGTTCCATGGCTTCTAGAGAAAAATAATGAGGGGTGTCACGGGGTATGACTATATAGATCTTGTAGAGGAGAAACAGGCGCATCTTTTGCGCAAGGTATCGAAGGGCGCTATGTTCAAAAATCTGATACTGGAGCTCAAAATTTGAAAAAAAAATTGTTAAAAACAGGAAGGTTGGCCTATTCCATGGCTTCTAGAGAAAAATAAAGAGTGGTGTCACGGGGTATGATTATATAAGTCTTGTAGAGGAGAAACAGGCGCATCTTTTGGGCAAGGTATTGAAGGGCGCTATGTTAAAAAATCTTAAACTAGAGCTCAAAATTTGAAAAGAAATGTAAAAAACAGGGGGCTTGGCCTATTCCATGGCTTGTAAAGAAAAATAATGAGGGGTGTCACGGGGTATGATTATATAGGTCTTGTAGAGGAGAAACAGGCGCATCTTTTGGGCAAGGTTTCGAAGGGCGCTATGTTCAAAAATCTGAAACTAGAGCTCAAAATTTGAAAAAAAAAATGTTAAAAACAGGAAAGGTTGGCCTATTCCTAACCCGAATAATTCAGTCGTTATATTCCACTGCTCTACGATGGCTACATTAACGCCTGAAGGCCTTGTCAATAAAAGATCGTCAAAAAATCAATCGGAATTAGCTCGGGATTTACCTATCTCGATAACATTGAGCTATTAGCTGATTGGCTCTATCACCCAGAGGGCACCAATCAAAATCCTCGATTCGTGACGCGTTTTTATTGTATAAAGAATTCAGGCCCTCGCGAGTGGGAGAGTCGATCACGGGGTGGGACTGAATTATTCGGGTTAGCCTATTCCATGGCTTCTTGAGAAAAATAATGAGGGGTGTCACGGGGTATGACTATATAGGTCTTGTAGAGAAGAAACAGGCGCATCTTTTGCACAAGGTATCGAAGGGCGCTATGTTCAAAAATCTGAAACTAGAGCTCAAAATTTGAAAAAAAAATGTTAAAAACAGGGGGGCTGGCCTATTCCATGGCTTCTACAGAAAAATAATGAGGGGTGTCACGGGGTATGACTATATAGGTCTTGTAGAGGAGAAACAGGCGTATCTTTTGGGCAAGGTATCGAAGGGCGCTATGTTCAAAATTCTGAAACTAGAGCTCAAAATTTGAAAAGAAAATGTAAAAAACAGGGGCGGTTGGCCTATTCCATGGCTACTAGAGAAAAATAATGAGGGGTGTCACGGGGTATGACTATAAAGATCTTGTAGAGGAGAAACAGGCGTATCTTTTGGGCAAGGTATCGAAGGGCGCTATGTTCAAAATTCTGAAACTAGAGCTCAAAATTAAAAAAAAATGTAAAAAACAAGGGCGGTTGGCCTATTCCATGGCTCCTAGAGAAAAATAATGAGGGGTGTCACGGGGTATGACTATAAAGATCTTGTAGAGGAGAAACAGGCGCATCTTTTGTGCAAGATATCGAAGGGCGCTATGTTCAAAATTCTGAAACTAGAGCTCAAAATGTAAAAAAAAATGTAAAAAACAGGGGCGGTTGGCCTATTCCATGGCTCCTAGAGAAAAATAATGAGGAGTGTCACGGGGTATGACTATAAAGATATTGTAGAGGAGAAACAGGCGCATCTTTTGTGCAAGATATCGAAGGGCGCTATGTTCAAAAATCTGAAACAAGAGCTCAAAATTTGAAAAAAAAATTGTTAAAAACGGGGGGGTTGTCCTATTCCTTGGCTTCTAGAGAAAAAAAATCAGGGGTGTCACGGGGTATGACTATATAGGTCTTGTAGAGGAGAACCGGATGTGACGTGCCATGATTTGGTGGTATTACACCTGAAGAAGGCATTTTTATTTAATAAACTGAAAGGGACTTTTTTCTTTGTAATACTGTTTTTTTCAAGCATTCCTGTCATGTTTTGTCATAATCAGTTCAATAGTTTGAGAAAAATCTAGTATAATGTACGACGACATCTTCAGCGATTCGTGCAAAATTTCTTCGAATTATCCAAACCAAGCCGCATCATGATAGAATATAGTGTGGACCAATAATGATCAAATATTTATCTCATCTGCCTACAAACAGTTGAATATGATACAAACGATGACTTTAGGATGATAAATACCACTAATGGACCCCTTTGTCTTCTTTATAAGGTCTCTTTTGGTCCATTTATACATGTCATTTCCTCAAAATTTCAACTTTTCAGGCCAATAAATAAAAATAATGAAGTAACTTTCACTCATTTATGATAGAAATGTTATAATAAATTACATTGAGTGATTGAAGTATTCAAGCAGAATGAACAATCCATATAAAAGTTTACTGGAGGTTTTAATAAGTCCTTACGTAAAATTTAAATTTACGCTGCTTTCCAGAGAAGGACATAATAAGCTTCTGTATCAGTGAATAATTTGTTGGTACTGCTTTAAAAAATAATTACATTTACTTATAACTATTGTAGAGGGCACACAGCCGCATAGTTTGCGCAAGGCTTCAAGAGGTGCTATGTTTAATTATGTCGAAAGGAACTAAAATTTAGTGAGGAACAAAGCCAACTCAAATGTCAGACAAGAACATGACAACCGTGAAAAAGACATATCAGAGTCAGCAAAGAAGAATTTCTTGTCATATGAAGTCGAAATGAAAATCCAAATTCCCCCATTACATGAAAAAAGAGATTGCAAAATGTGTAATGTAAGTACTGATAAAGAGAAAGCTGAATACTGGCTGAATTTTTTTCAAGGGTATTTCAAAAAGAAAACGATGAAGATGAAAGAACTTTAGTGCGAAGGCCATCTGGTATACAACCTAAAGTTCTATATACTATTACAGACTTAATAGACAGTCTACTTTGTATTACTTTCAACAGTTTATTTATATCAGAGCTTTTGTACCAGAATAAAACAAAATCGGCAAAGATTACTGCATTGTTAAAAAGATATGATAGTAAAACTGAATACAGACCAGTTAACTTTATCAATGACAATCCATGCGCCACATCCTTAAAGACGGTATAAGTACCCTCGTCCACGTGCGGGCATTGTCTGATATAAATAAATGTATACTAGGCAAAAAAAAGAAACGTTACCCTGGTTTTTAATTAAAAGAAATTACATAAATTAATTTATAATATTTTCAAGATTACAACTAGTGACCTGAATGATTTATCTATCATTTACTATTTTGTTAAAAATTCGAAGACGACGTTACGTCATTTTCTGATTTCATACAAAGAAGCATTTTTTCAAACATTTACCTGTATAGAGATGGAATTGAGTTGTCCTTTTGATCATTAAATGTGTCGAGCACTATATTGTTAACAAAAGGTCGCATTAAAAAATTGAAAAAGTTACACGTAAGTCAATGCCACGTCTACGTCATAAT